GTATATGAAAAACCTTATTATTTTTTGGGCCGATAAGTGATCTTGTAATCAAATCTTTATAAAGACATGTTCCAACAAGCTTTGCAACAATTCATAATATGTATCAATATGAAATACTTAAAGTTCTTGTGATTCATATATATAGTGACTAGACTCAATGTGCTTTCTAAATAATAATGTCATTTTAAAAATGAATCGACAATTGTAAGAAGCTCATTATTATGGATTTCATAATTAATCTTGGCTACTAAAAATTTCTTAGAATGAAAAGCTACAAGAAAGAACTTGTTATTTATTTCCATTTTCAATAAAAAAATATCTGTAATAAAGTTTGATGCATCTATTTTTATAAAGAATGCCTTGAAAAAATTGATGCAATATAAAATTGGTGTAAAAAAAAATATTATTTTAAGACTTCAAAAGATACTTCCACTTCTTTGTTTCATTCAAGGTTGTCTTTACATATCAAATGTATAAGAAGAGTTGTAACTTGAGAAAAGTTTTTAATTAAGATCTTATAATAATTGATAAATCTCAAAAAAATATTGCACGTCTCTTATTGTTCTTGAAAACTTCCAATCTATGGTAGTCTAAACTTTTTTAAGATTGATCATAAGACTATTATTGGAAATAATATACCTTAAAAAGTTAACTTAAATATTATAAAATACACACTTTTCTATCTTAGCCTTAATCTTATATCTCTAAATTTTTATAATACATAATAAATCTAAAATTCATGTTCTTTTGTGTTTTTAGAGTAGATTAGAATGACTTCTAATTAATAGACAACAGAATCATCAAAAAGTTTATAAAAAATATCATTCATGTGATGTTGAAAAGTAGCTGATATATTTGTGAGTCCAAAAGGCATGACATTATATTCAAAATATCCATACCTAGTTCGAAAAGTAGTCTTCCATTCATCTCTTCATTTGATGCGGACCATATTGTATACTCTTTGTAGATTTATTTTTATATAGATCTTTGTTTTATTGAATTTATTAAGAAGACTTGAAATTAGAGATAGGAGATACCTATTTTTAATAGCAATCTTATTTAGTCCTTGATAGTCTATACACATCTACAGATATCCATCTTTTTTCTTCACAAATAAGATAGAAGTTTATATTAGAGATTTTGAATGGCATATGAAATTTTTATCCAAATTCTTGTCAATGTATTCTTTTAGTATAGCTAACTCATTTTGCAATAAGTTGTACATGAGTTTGAATGGTGGTTGGATGTGTTCTTACAAATCAATTGAACAATTATAGGGTTGATGCTCTAAAAGAATATCTATATTTTTCTTTTCAAAAATTACTTGAATAGCTTGATACTAGCTAGGAATACCACTTGATGTCATTTCACCATCAAAAATGGGCATAGCATATATAGCAAAAGATAATTTTTTTTTTTTGTCAAATGTATGAATGTTTTTTCATCTATTAATAAATATTTGGATGTATTAGACTTGTATATTTTTACTTGATTAACAATATCTTTGGTTTTTTTGACAAAGTCTTCATCTATAAAACATGTCAAGGATCTTGAATTTAATAAACCTAAGACTTTGTGATGTTTTGGTCCTAAATAAATTTCTATTATAAAATGAGGTAAGAAATCTAAGAAAAAAATAAAATCTTTATTAGATGTTATATAAGATTCTAGCTGCATAATCTCTATTGTAACTAAAAAATTAGTTTTTCAAGACATTGTCTTCTTTGGTAATTGTACTCTTCATTTTGTAATTGCATTACTTCTTTAATTAATGTTGAATAGTGTGCTTGGATTCTCTACAATATAGGCACAAACCTTTTTAACAATAATAGGTCTTTTTTTACTTAATAAGAGGTTTAAAACATATATTATTAATTTGTATAAGCTTTGGCTTAAACAAATAAGTTTTTGAAAACTTAGAAGATGTCAAGGATATGAACCTTAAAGAATTAAAATGACAATAAACTCTTGTGTCATTAAAAAGAACTAAAAAAATACTCAAAGATTGTAATATATTGAACTATAATAGCTATTGCTAAAGATAAGAAGACTAAAAAGTCTTGAAATAAGACTTAGGACTAGAAAGACATTAACAACAGTGAAAAAGGCTTCACTCTTATCTCTCTATATATTTTTAATTAGGAGTTAAATGACGATGTTTTATAGGACCTCCAAGACATCTTGACTTTGCAAGACATGTATTTTAACTTGTAAGATAAGTTTTCTATATGTACGCCACATAGTTAGTTTGTTCTACAAGCTACTAATACGTGGTTAACTTGTTGATTAAGTTTCTATCCTATCAATAAACTACAAATACATGTAAAGTCAAAATAGCATCTATGAAGCTTTTAAGAAGATTTTTTATAAAATATTATGAAATAAATCTACTTTTACCTACTTCTACTTAATCATATAGATAAATATTAGAATAAATATATATGTTTGTGAAAAAAGATGTTTTTATGACTTAACATGTATTTTTCTAATCAAATCTTTGTGCTTGGCATCTTTCATAGAATTAATTGTTGTATGCAATGGCTTAAGCAATAAATTACTCCAATAAATCTATTCTTGGTATTTTTAATAATAAATCTTTGATGTTATCTTTTAATCCATATCAAAATTAATTGATAAAGGATTTATTATTCCAATTCATGGTACAAGCAAGATTTTAGAATTCAATTGCATATGTGGCTGTTGAATATGATCCTTATTATAGTGATATAAATTTGGTCTGAATTATCTTTTTTTCAATCACTTTCTTCAAATATGGCTATAAATACTTCTAAAAATAAATTCAAGTTATAAAATAATTATAATATTTTTCTATCAAAGATACAAACCAAGAGAGAGTACTTTTCAATAAAAGTGTGTATGTGAATCTAACTTGAGTAAATCTATTAAAGCATTAAAAATGATGCAACCTTAAATAGAAAACTTATTGTAGAAATCTTCAAAATTTTGATTTTTTTCCATCAAACATCTCGAGCATACTAATCCTTGCCTTTTTTGTGCTTGTAAAAGCAAGATTTCTTGAATTTGGTTGTAGGACTAATCTACTTGCTTTCTTCAATTGTACAACTTCTTGGTGTAGACTCTAGACTTCTTTCATATATACAGGAATAGTGCGTCTATGATTCATAGTAGAAATATATGAAATTTTTATTCTTAAAGTGTTGGCAATTTCATGGAAACATTCAATAGTTGCAAGTCTATTCTCACTTTTGCTGAGAGTATCATCTATAATCTTTCTTCCCATAGACAATTCAAACGAATTTAAAAAAATTAAATTAGAAGACGATGATCAATAACGTCTAATATCAAATGAAAATTTCTATAAAGAAAGATAATCTACTCTCTTTAAAATAAAAATTAGTGTTAAAAAACTAAATTATTTGTTTAAAGATGGATAATCTACAACCTTTAAAATATAAAAATAGAAATAGAATAATCTATTCACTTCTAAAATATAACTATAGCAAGAAGTTAGTACTCTTGTCAATTATCAAGGATATTAATCTTCAAGAATGAAAAGATCAAAACACTCTCATGTCATTAAAAAAGACTAAATAATCACTAAAGATAATATAAAATTAAACTAAAATAGCTATTGCCAATGGCAAGAAGACTAGAAAGTCTTCAAATAAGATTAAAGACTACAAAGGTATTAATAAGAGTAAAAAAGACTTCATTCTTACTTTTATATATATTATCTAATTAAGAATTACATGGGAATGTTCTATAGGATGTCCAATACATGTTGATTTTACGAGACATGTATTTTAACTTACAAGGCAAGTTTTCTATATTTGTGCTATATATTTAGCTTGTTCTATAAGCTACCAACATGTGTAGTATGTGGTTAATTTGTTGATCAATTTCTAACATATTAATCAACTACAAATAAATATAAAGTAAAAATCTTATCTATAATACTTTTAGGGAGCTTTTCTAGAGGATGTTATGAAATTAATTTACTTTTATCTACTTCTATGTAATCATATAGGTAATTATTAGAGTTAATACATATAACTATAATAGTTTATCAATTTGATGATACCAAATAAGATAGAAGCCTTAATTATGGAATAATATGTTGTGTTCAATAAAGCAATAGAATCAATCTTGGCATTGTAAGAAAGTATAATAGACTTATTACCAAGACGACTACAAATTCCTATGCCAAAAGAAGGTGGTAGTATCATCCCTATATAAGCTCATATTATAAGTATTATACTTGGATTCAAAAGCCAATAGAAAAAGAAAAAATTATATAATAAAAAAATGCATGGTAGAAAGAATTTAGTAGTTCAAAAAATATGGTGAACTTTATGTTCTACAATAAATACAAGAAGTTGTTTAAAAGAAGCATACGCAAGAGAAAATTTTTAAGCTATGCATAGAAGCATATCTAAAATATAGTGATGTAAAGATATATTTTTTTTTACAAAGATGATCAAAATCAAGTACAAAAATTACCAATACATGATTTTTAAAGAATATAATAGTATTGGTCTAGATAAAGAAAGATGCAATATTGACTAAGATCTAGAATTTTTCTTCAAAGATTTAGATTTTCATTAAGAGTGTGAATGCAAAATTTGGTGCTTCATGTAAGGATTTGATTTGAAATAACAATAATAGTGTAGTTGAGTAAACCACCACCAAAATGAATATCTATTTTATTTCATATAAAAAGAAAGTAATCAATGATAAAATTCTTTAAAATCCCTATTTATAAAATATATTTTTTGTACAAAGAAAATAGCCAATGATGAAATCTTTTACAATCCTTGTTTATAAAATATTTGTTTTTGAGAAAAAATTAATAAGTAAATTTTTTGAGTTGAAATAATTATTCCTAAAAAAAGAAGTATAATGTGCATTGACTGACTGCTGTTGTGTACGACAACAAAAAAGTATTCTTTGAAGCAACAGTGATGGTTGAAAATTGGGATTGAGATGCATCCCCTGAACAAACTTCAGCACCCATGTGAATGTGGATCAGTGTGGGTTCTGAGTTCCCAACCTGCCCGCCTCCCTGGTTCCCCTACGTTCCCGTCCTCCGTTCCCAGAAATACCATCAGCGGTTGATATTGGATCTGAACGACAGCTGCAATCCGACGGCCCACGATGGCGGATCCAGTGCCAGCGTCTAAATAGAAAAGGGTAACTCAGGCTAAACACCCGGCGAGGTGTTGCTTTATTCTGCACCTTTTCGCAGGTGGGTTTACTTTTTCGAGGGGTTTTCGTAGGGCTTTCAGTTGATCGCTTGTCACAGTTTATGTTTATCTTTTCCTTTTTTTGTTTTTGGGTTGGCCATGGTCTGTGTTTAATGCCTCGGAGACTCCGCCTCGTTTCCAGCACGAGAGGGGGAATCTGTTTATTATTGCTAAACCTGAAGTCGTTGTTGGTAGTCGTAATCGTCGCAGTGCGCGTAGTCTTCAGTGGGTTTTCGGCAGTTGTCAGTGTTGTAACCGGAAATGCGAGTCGCTGCATCGATGATTCCGAGGTTCACGTGCAAGGTTTAGAGCTGAGCCTGTCGCGACGTGTTGTTTTGATTATTGGGTTGGGATCGGTTTGCAGCAGCAGGTTAGGTTTGTGCTGTGTCGCAATGGAGGCGCTAGAGCGAGGTCTGGGCCTAGTGGGGCGGAGTGCTTCCACTCCTGGCTTCTCTGTGGAGGATTCGTCCAGAGTTCGAGTGACGCTGAGAAAGGGGTTGGTTAAGGTTGTCAGTGCAGCCCGACCTCTACGGTCGATGGAGGGGGTAGAATTCGTGGGGCGGCGGCGCATTGCGGAGAGTGAGAGAGTGCAGGAAAGGGTAGATGCTCGATCTGTTACTGCCCACGCTGCGATGATGGGAGGCTTGGGCGACTCCCTGAAGTCGGGATATGTGTTGAAGTACCTCGTTGTTGTGGATGAGCATACGGAAGTTGACAGCACGGGCGATGTGATCGAGAAGTTGAAGAATGGATTCAGGAATTTTAAGGTTACTCAATACAAGTACGTTGTCGTTTGTTTTGCTTTGTTTTTCTTCCTCTTATTCTCATTTTAACGTGTGAAATTTGGTTTGAATTTCTGTTAGCTAAATTAGATAATTGCTAATTCATTTTGAGGTTCGCCCGTGTCCAAAACTCGATTGGGGTTGCCTTCTCGGCTTCCGCAATAACGTGTTTCCAATAGGGTTTATTACAACATCAATGTATTGTTCCCATCCAATCTAGAATCCACGTGCGCATGCAGGCTTGTGCATTACTGATTCGATGATCTCTTCTTTGCAGCCAGAAGCCGGACCTATATGCTAGGCTTGCGGAGGGGCAACAGCCCAAGGTACTGCTTTGTTTCATGAAAAGATTTTGTTTTGCAGTTTTATGTTGAGGGTTTCATTTTAATTTCATGTCATTGAGCATTGTTCAGTTTCATTTTGCTGTAATATTCTTTTGCTGATTTAATATCATTGGTTTGATTTGGAATCTAGGTTATGATGATCACCTGCGCAGATTCTCGGGTTTGCCCCACAATGCTCCACGGTCTGGAGGCTGGTGAGGCTTTTATAGTCCGCAATGTTGCTAATTTGGTTCCCCCGTGCGAAGAATCGGTATGTGAACTTGAATTTAAATTTGAGCAATGTTTCTATCTCTCTCTTCTAAGGGAATGGGGTGCTCTGATGTTTGTACAAGTTCTCATCGGAGATTTAAAATGTTCCTTTGGCTTATGACGAGCTTTAATGGATGTGCAGGGTGAGCATCATGGGACAAGCGCTGCCATAGAGTTTGCCGTCACAGTTCTTGGGGTATGTAGCAATGACAAAGAAAATGCAGTGCAGCTAGCCCCTGTCAATTTCTTTATTCTGGTCGCAATCTTCTGAGAATGTCACGGTATGCCGTATTAGTGTTATTTATTTTAGTTTGAGTCGTCGCTCGAGTTTGGCTGAGATCATACCCACGATTTGCAGGTGGAACGCATTGTAGTGATGGGGCACAGCAATTGTGGAGGTATTAGAGCACTTATGACACGAGACGCTTTTTCAGGGTATGTTCTGGTACCCCGTGACTTATTATTGAAATTTCGAGGTTTTAGAAGATTTTCTATGGGATTAACTTTCATAGTTTGTGAATCTTGCAGTGACTTCGTTGGAAGCTGGATTAGAATTGGACTTCCTGCAAAGAAGAAGGCGCTGTCTGTGATGAAAGGGAAGCCGTTGCAGGAGCAATGCAGGTTCTGTGAGCAGGTGTGGTTACTTTCCTTTCTGTTCTTTTCTTTTTCCCCATTGATGGTTCATATTCTGTTGGGCTAGTATCGGGTTTGACCGGTACCAACCCCTTGAGCACGAAATACTTATGAAATAGAAAGAGAATCGTATCACGAATAGTGACTTGAAAGTCCAGAAGTGAAATTTAACATGCTCTTGCTATGCGTCTTATTCTATGTAGGTATCTTGTGCTAGACGTTGTATTGATTGTAGTGAATGCTTAATATTTAAACCTGAGGTATTTGGTGGACTGTAGGAAGCTGTGAATGTGTCGCTGGCCAACTTGCTCACCTTTCCTTTCATTGAGGAACGTGTCAAATCTGGGAAACTGCGTATCCATGGTATGCACTATAATTTTATTGATGGTCAATTGACAAGCTGGGAAATTGAACCCGAAGAGGCTCCCGTTTACTCTTAGGATATCACAAGATTGTGGAGGTTGCGGCTACTCTTTTTCAAAAGACCGTAGCAGATTTTGATTGGATTATGACCGCATTAGTACATTAGCAGTTTATGACTAGATATTGGTTAATAATATCAAATATTGGAGCCTGGATTATATGCAGACACAGTCATGACTCTTCGCCATTTATCTGTACCTGAAGATTTTCACGGTTACCATAAGCGATTGCAACACCTTTCATTGATTGACCTTCTAATTCTTTTCAGAAGGGCTTTATGCTATAGAATCAAGTGTGGATTTCGCATCATTACTGCATCATGTATGTATACATTTGCATTATGAAGGGAAAAATACAGATCTAATTCTTTCAAACTTTACCATCTAAGCTGTTAGTTCGAAGTCTTGAAACCATATCTAACTTTACTTTAAAAGGTAAACCTAAATATAACATTTGAACCAACCTCTTCATACAAATAAGCGACACAAGGTATTTTCTGCTTGATCATACAGACATGTAGTTTAATATAATTTCAAAACTCAAATAATGATGTAAGAATCTGGATACATAGTTTAGAAGGTTTGAAACATTGTGTTTTTGATTAAGCACAATACACAATTATTTTTAGATAGTGTTAGTAATAGCGTTACAAATGTAATTATCATATAGAACTTATAAATTATTGATGTTATAACAATTACAACTATTGCAATTATTATTAGTACCAATTTAGTCTTGTTTTCATGCTTTTACATTCTTTTGTATATTTATTCATTAGAATTGATAACTGAATTAATTAATTCCAGCTCCAAAATTTGCAACACTAAGTATTGGCTTTGGTTGTTGTGTTTAGAAGTCTTTAAATAAAATGTTGTATGTAGATACTATTTAATAAAAACAAACATTATTTTTTAGTTTTTTTATTTAGTTCTTAAAAATATGTTTCAAACAATGATGAATAGAATTTAAAATATATTATAAAATTAGGTATCAATATAGTAAGCTAAGAGTAAATAATATTAGACACAATGACCCCAAATTTTGTGTATAAATATACAACTAATTTAAGTATTACAAGGGCTGATTTTATTTTTTAAATATTATTTTTACAAAAAAAAAAGTAAAAAAATGATTGCAAAAAATTATTTTATTATTTTATTGGTAGTTGAAAATTATCTCAAATGTTACTTAAGTGTCAAATAATATAATACTTTGACTTATAATATCACTTTGACAAAAGTGGCAAACTAAGCTTTTTATTTAAAATATAGACACTTTTTAAATTTTTTAGAAAATTTAATTTTTACAAAATAATACTTGATTTTACTTCTATGAAAGAAAATCACATTTTTTTTTTCTAAGTTTTTTTTAGTTTTTCATTATTTTTTTTATTATTATTTATAAGACCAATCTTATATTTTTATTTATCTAGTTATTTTTTTAAATAAAATATTATTTGTAAGTTTTAACTTCTAAATCAAATACATAAAATTAAGATCTTTATAAGATATTAAAAAAGTCAATGTTGATAGAAATCAAAGTGGCCTTTTTATTATTAATGTCAATTTTATTTGTGATAAAATCAGTAAAAATCAGTCTAACTCATAATTATGTACTAAATTACATTGTATTAAATTTTTTTAGTGATTTAGTAATGTAATATTATTTTTATTAAATAAATTTAGTTTTAAACATTATATCTTTGTCATTATTTAGTAGAATCTAATATAATGTAATAGGTCCCTAGAATTTATATTGTACAATATAAGTTGTTATTTTCACAATTTTTTAATTCAATTAATTTGTGTCCTTTTGGTTACCACACTTTAATGGTATTCTTAACCAAAAACTTCAAAGTTTTTTTCTAGTTTCATAAAAGGTTATTTTATAGTACGATAAATAATTTAAAAATTAATACTATTGAAAAAAACTATTGATTTATTGATCTTAGTTGCAACTTTGGTAATAGCTATAAATATCTTTGTATATTTTTATTGTTAATAAGAAACATCTAAGATGCTTTTATAACTTTAATTTTTTAAAGAAAAACAAAATGACTACATGAATTAAAATTTTAGTTTTTGTATAAAATTTCGAATTTAAGTCAAAAATTGTAAGAATATTTATTTTTATGCAAGGTATTAATTAGATACAAATACAAATTGGTAGCAAAATAATTTTATTTATTTATTTTTACTTTTTATCAAGGTTTCTATTATGTTGTTGTATAAGTAAATACATTAAATTGTAATACAATATTGATTTTGGCTACTTTAAAAATTTACTATTTATAAGTTAAATATTATTAATGGCCCAAGCATAAAGGAATTTGGTGTCTAAAACCAAAGTCCTCTTCATGGTATATTATAATTTATTCTTTGATTGTTTTTACAAAATATTATAAAGAATACCATATATAATATGCCATTAATGTAGATAGATTATTCTTTTATATGTACCAAAGTTTTTTAATAATATATTTACTATCTCTAATTTGAGGGATGTATAAAATAATTTAGATAGAGATAAATATTCAACTATCTCTCTAATAGTTAATCCATTGAAATCTAATAACTCCCAATGGTTAATCCAAATTTTAAAAACCATCTCCATCTAAAATCTAAGTATGTAATGTTGTTTGTTATTTTGATATTTACTAAATTTTGATCATTAATGTTTTTATTTGCATTGGATGATATTTATTAGCCAGGAGACAACTATTATTTAAAGAATTTTAGAAATAGATTTTGTTGCCTTAAAGTTTCTACAACATTTAATGTACTAAAAAATAATTAAAAAAAGTTTATAAATCTTTGAACATATAATTTAATAAATATCTAACACAATTATAATATCAGAACATAATACTATGTAATAATAGAAAATTTTGCTCAAAATTTTTATTTTCTAAACTATTAAAAATTGAAGTAGTATTTATGATATATGATATAAGTGTACTAGTCATTTAAAATGTACTAATCGAAACAAACTAAGATTTAATAAGTTGTGTAATAATGTTTAATTTTTGTTGAACATCGGTGAATTTTACAATATGCTGATGACTTTTTAAACGTTAATTATAGCACATAATAAAAATACTATGATGATGTTCTCAAGTAACAAATCTTTCACAGTTATTCATGTTTTGAATTCAGCGCAAGGCAGGGACAACAATTCCTATATATTCAACTTTCTCATCTCTTTCATGACAATTTATTCAAAACATCCTATCATTAATCTTCATGCACAGGAACATACAACAATACAGTGCATCCAAATGACACTGCCAAGTGCAGTTTTTCATGACATGTTCAACATGTGGATTATTTCTCTCGACATGGAAAATTTTCATGACACGTTCACACAAATGTGTAACGTTCAGGAAATTTATGCAGATTCTTACCAATTTTACACACCATAATCTTCATCAAACAATATTTCAAGAAATATGGAATTACACATCAAGGTGTGGTGCCAGTTCAATCAAGAAAGGCATTAAAAAAATTCACACCCACACACACACATGTGTGTGTGTATGTGTATAAATGTATGTATATATATATATATATATATATATATTTTAATATGGTATGATTCTGCTACAGCCTATCAATGTTGCAAAATCTTAACTTCATAATATTCCTCTATGAGGGGCAAGGGCAGCTAAAAACTTGCCAGCGGGAGTGGGGGCGGGGTCCACAACGAGCTGCGGCACCAGAGACGAAGGCTCGACGTGCGGCGCGAGGCAGACAGGAATTGCACGAATCGACCATTCGTGCCGGCCCAGCAGCTGCTGATTATCGATCCAAGCGCAGCTTAGGAACCTTCCACGTCATGCCCATGCAAGGCTGTGGTTCCAACCAAGCGAGACACATACCGTTACGGAAACGCGCCTAAGCTCTTTGCAGTGCGTTGGCATGCGAAAAGTCTTCCGAGTTTCTGTAGATTCGTGGATAAGTGAAAACGTGCGATCTTCCCCCCCCTCCCACCCCCGATCAAGGTATAGTCCTAATATCCCATTTCCCTTTTCCCTTTCCCTTTTTGCATTTTGTGCAACATGGAATCTTGTTCTCATCCCTGCGCAACTAACCCAAACTGTACGTTGGGGCTTGCTTCAATCTTTTTTACTGTTCCAGACTGTGTGTGCATTCGGATGCCCCATGGAATTGTTTATGTCAAATTCCCCTACTATCAGAAAAATAAATTCAGGAGAAAGACGCAGCCTCGTATCGTGCTAATTCTAGCACTTTGCTCCGCATGTACCTGGCGGTTGACTTTCCATATATAGTTTTTGTGAGAATCCTTTCGCTTGATCATTGCTCGCACTGGAGGGGTTGCCGTCGTGGCACACTCTCGAGTGCTGTAGTGCACTGCAGAAGTCAATGTAGACGACAGAGTCGTTGAGGGGGCCACAGCAGATGTGCACTTATGAACATACGTAAGCCGTGCCATGTTTGGCGAAGGTATTTAAAGTGCCTTGTCGGAGGAAGGCACGGTCTCGGCCTGATTCAAAAGAACCACGACACTGCACTCATCCTAATTAAGACAACGATTTAGACCTTTCAAAGTCAACTTCGTGAAATCTTACTTCCACTTACGAACCGGCAATGCTATGAGTAAAACAATGAACTCATTTCCTCCCTTGCAAGGAAGCCTTCAACACCATGTCAACCCATTCAAATGTGCTGTAGAAAATGGTTTCGTTTCCTGCAGTGACTTGCATGGGATCATAATCTATTACAGCCGACCAGATCATCAAGTGCGTGACTTGCTTACGGCAAATTTGTTCAAATTAGTTCAAATTCGTCAACTGAACCTCGCATCGATAAAGCTAGCCATGATCGGGTGTCCTTAGGAAGAGATTCCAGATCTCCGCGGTGAGTAATGCGTGGTGGAAAAATTGGCCTGCTCATCACCAAATGAGACGAAACTTCATGAGTGGTTCCATAACCACTTGATCTGCGACTGCACGATTCGAAAGTGGTGAATGTAGTCACATACCGATCACATTCAAATCGGAGTGCGAGGGGAGCTTGTCTTGTCAGAGATATATGGCGTATAAATCTTGCACCAGGTCGGAGCGCTTCACCATTCAAACCAGTCTTGCGTATCTGCACGGTGCCCAGCCGCGCCGGTGACATCGTGTGGAGCGGGCTAATAGTACCTGGTCGGCGGGTCTACTTTCGTTCATTCCTACACATCTATCTCTGGCCCAAGTCTTTACTGGTTCTAGCTCCGCAGCACATCATCGGCGATGACGACTTCGAACACCATGAAGCTGGCCGGCATCTACATGCTTGTCCTCGCAT